TGTTCAAACATATCGAGATAACGTGTCTTAAACTTTATTTTTTATAATAATAATAATAATAATAATATTAATTATAATAATATTTTATAATTACAATAATTATTAATATTTATTTATATTATTTCTATATATGTATAGATCTCCATATGTATATATTCAAATCGATAGTCAATTAATAAGCTAACAATATTTTTTTGTTTACATTAAAAGAAAGAAAAAAACGAAACTCCGATCGATTGATATAATTTGCGATTGTTATAAATCATAATTGATGAGAATATGAAAACAAAGATCGGAAAATTCTCGTCTAATTGTAAAGTTTTGTTCGAGAATCAGACTTCTTTTGTTTTCTACATTCGCATTTTTATATTTTAACCAATAAAATTATGTAAAAAAAAAAAAACAAGAAAAAGAAGTTATTATAAAACTAAATGTAAGTATCTAGATTTGACAATGTCTTTCTGTCCGTTAAAATAATTCGTTATTAGAAATAATAGTATTTAGAAAATATTCAAAATCATATTTTATTCACGCGTTCAAATTAACAAAAAGTAAAATGAAATAAACGTTTTATCGATTCTTACCAATATTTTTTATTATAGAAATATCGAATTTCTTCATGCAAAGTTATTGAATTATTTTTTTCCATTTTCTTTTTCTCCTCCTTTTATTTTACAGATATGCATCAAAGTTGGCAAAATAAAAAAGATGAAAAAAACATTGATGAGAAATAATATTTAAGAAAATTTACACGAACCAAGTAATGCTTCTGTTTATTAAAAAAAAAAAAATTAATTAATTAATTAGTCTAAAATCGAATACTCGTTTGTTTAATTCAAGTTTTTGTCCGTTTCTTTACAATTCTCATTATTTCCATTCGTTCGCAAAAGTTCATAAATTTACGTAAACAACAACATCAACAACAACAACAACCATCAAGAAAGGTCTCCTAATAATTATTATTACATTATTTTCAATTTCGTGTTATTTTTCTTTTACTGGTTCCATTCTACTTTTTTTATTTGATATATATATCTTATTTATTTCATTCGTTTTTTCATTTTTTATTTAATATTTATTTAAGCGCGTTTTTTCTATTTTGTTTTTTTTACGTTTTTTTTTTTTTTTTAAATCTTTCGAACCTCTTAAACACTCTGGCAGTAAGCGAACATATTTTTTCGATCGGTAAAGATCGTTTGGTTTATTTGACAAAAAAAAATAACCCATACAAGATCGATCGATTAAAGTAGCATTATTAACAAAAATAAAATAATAATAATAATAATAATAATAATAAAAATAATTAAAAATTAAAAACTGGACGACGTTACACAATCGTTTATGTATCATTAAGTTACCTAAACTTTTATCTTTTTCTTTCATTGCTACTTTAAATTTTACATTATTATTTAGGAAAAATAATTACTAAATAAATATAGAATAAGAAGAAAGTAAAAGAGAATAAAAAGAATCTATATATATTCATGATAAAGTTAAGTACATAATATTTGTCCTTTGTGCAAAAAGAGAGTGTACGCTGCTAACGTGGAAAAATTTTGTTTAAATAATAGTCCAAGATAAAAGAAGAAGTCATCAATTCTTTCATTGATTTAATTTTTCAAACAAAACGAAAGCGACCATCGTCCATATTAATATCTTTTCTTCTTTAAATAATAACAATGATGATAATAATAATAATAATAATAATAATAATAATAATAATAATCATATTAATAATAATCATAATCATATTAATAATAATCATAATCATAACCATAATAATAATAATAACAACAACAATAATAATAGCAATAATAATAATCATTATTATTATTATTATTATTATTTTTATTATTATTATTATTATTATTATTATTATTATTATTATTATTCCCACGCAGAAAATACGAACACACGTGACACACATGCGGATCATGAGAAGAGTCCGACGAAATAGACTTTGAATAATAATAAATGATATAATAATAAAAATTAATTGTTAGTAATAATAATAATAATAATAATAATAATAATAATAATAATAATAATAATAATAATAATAATAATAATAATAAAAATAATAACAATAATAATAATACATCGGACTACTAACATAATCTCCTACGTACGAACAATTAAGAATCGAGGTTCGAAAAAGAAGCTTAAAAATTATAATTAAAATTAAATTAAAATTAAATTTAATTAAACTTAAATTAAATTAAATTAAATTAAATTAAATTAAATTAAATTAAATTAAATTAAATATTACTAATAGTTAATAATAATAATAATGGTAAACGAACATAAAAATTAATGTTTTAAATCCTTCGTTGCGCTCTTAAAAAATAATACACACACTTGCTCGTTTTAATTAAACGCTGTATTGTTTTGTTTCCTCTTACGTAAAAAGTCTCCTTTCTTTGAAATCATTATAATTAACATTATTTTTTAACAATCATACACATATATATATGTATATATTAACAAAACATAAGAAACATGTTCGCCGAGTTTTGTTTTAAAAAGAGGAAGTACAGAAGACACACGAAAAATGAAAGATTAACTCGTACCCACCCTTAGCCCCAACCCCCATTCCTTATATTTTCTTTTCTTCTTTTTTTTCCTCCTTTTTTCCCCATACGATCCTTTTTCCTTTGCAGGATCGTTTTTTATCATAGAAAGTATCTTTTCGTTTGTAATGTGACAAGGACATTCGTAAAAGAGAAAGATAGTAAGTACATTTGCTATGATAGATAACAGAAAAATATAGAAAAAGAGAGAGAGAAAGAGAGAAAAAGTGAGAGAAAGTGAGAGAAAAAGAAAGAAAGAGGGAGAATTATTTTATATATATATATATCTCTAGATATATTTAAAAGATGAATCATCACGCGCATACGCGGACTCGTCTACTTTCTCGACCAAAAGAGAATATTATTTTAAGATTTACTATTTTAAACATTTACTATGTATCATATTAACCCTCTATAAAACCCAACTTTATTTTTGATTTTTTGTTTTATTATAAAATATATATTATTTTGTAGTACTATGTCTAAGATTTGTACTTTTGCACCCTTTCACCCTTTTGCAAATAAACCATTTGCAAGGCAAAAGAATGAATTTAAGATGCAAAAGCAAAATATATATCAGTATAATTATCTTATATCAGGTATGATTTATATTTTAAATATATTGAAAACTTTTTACAATATCAATTGATTATTAACACTAAACGTACCATGAACGGTTATAAAATTGTTGGCAGAATTTTTTGTAAGTTATAATACTATTTCATTAGTCAAAAATTCTTTTTGCATAAATGGTATATAATATTGTTTGTATCGTAATTTATATTGTATCGCAAAATATATAATTTTTTGAAAACTGATAGTGTAATACGCTATTATAGAAATAAATATACATAAAGTACCAGTACGTTTAATGTTAATTGTAAATTAATTGCAGAAAAAAAATTACATTATTTTCTGAGATAAATATGTAAATTAAAAAAATGTTCTAGAGGATTAACATAGTTTGAATCACAAAGATATTCTCGATCTTCTAAATATTTTATTCCTCTCCAATCATATATTCAATCGAACTTCATTTATAGAATACGTACGTAAACATAGTCGTATATATATATATATATTAATAACGTAAATGAGAGAAAAAGAAAGAGAGACATATAGAGAGAAAGATAGAACCATATAATATGTGTATATAAATAAGAACAAATTCGATGAATATAATATGTAAGTAGGCACGTATGACAAGTGAATAATGGCTAAAGATATATCTTGTAAAATTTGAAGCCTTTTTTTGCAAGCACCGAACATTCGATATTATAAAAAAAGTAACAAATAGTTTCAACAAAATTTTATGCTTTACATTACTAACCTGACCTGAATGAAGAAATATTACAGAGTTTTGCGTAAACGCGTGTTGATTCTACACAGTCGAAAAAATCTAATTAGGGAAAAAGTATTATTTCTTTTTTGCAAAAAATACTTTTTACCCTCTTCCAATTTAATTTACTTATTATCGATAATGTATTTACAATTTATTTATTTTCGGAATGTTGATATCGATGCAAAGTGTGCGAATAAAAATAGGTCTATCGAGAAAGATTAGAAAAAAAAAAAGATAGAAAAGACCTTGCCGTTTTATTTGATATCACGTTTCCCAAAAACTTCCCTCCCCAACCCTCCTCCTCCTTCTTTCCCTCCATCTTCTCCATCTAATTAACGAGAGAGAAAAGTAATTTTTCCTGAAAATTTGTCGATTGAGAAAATATTTCAAATTTTTTATTTACATATATAAAAAAAGAAGATGAAGAAGACAAAAATAAAGTATTTTATTGTTTAAGTACTTTCGGCTATTCGTATATTGAATCGTCAGTCAAAGTTCGAAATATTTTTTAAAAATCGACAATTTTCCCGCGCAATTACTTTCTTTCCCGTTTAAAAAACCCTTTAGCACTCCCTATGTCAAACGTGACTCGACTTTATACAGCAACAATAAAATATATATATATATATATATACATAAACGTTTAAATCCGTAATTAAGGAGTACAACAAAGGTTTACTGGAAAACAAAAAAATAAATAAAAATCATAGCCACACGGCAAGGTCACGTTAGATAAAAAATATCCTCGCGTGAGGTGCAAAAAGAAATAGGAAAAAAGAAAGAAAAGAAAAAACAAGAAAAAAAGATTAAAAAGTAAAACCAAGTCATTAACGCCAGAAGTTTAAGTTTGAATTTCATTGTCGGAGATTAAATGTCATTGACTCAATTTGGTCTGATCGATATCTTTGATTCGCACGATTGAATTAACTCGAATATCTTCTTTCCTCTAGTCAAGTTGATACGATGGGAACGCGACAACGTAATGGTGAAGATTAATTAGCTTACTAAAAAAAAAAAAAATAAATTAAAAAAAAAGTTAAAACTTATTATATAGGACTACATGAGATTCGCTTAAAAAATAAAAGGAATGGATCCTCGGTTATTTATTGCATATATATAGAAACGGATAATTAACTTTCCTATCGTACAACTTGTAGAAGTAAAGAATAATCTTGGTGCTAAATGTGCTTAAATAGACTTTCATAGAAATAGATAGATAGATAGTGCATGTGACGGGGGAAAAAGATAGATATTTAGATAGATAGATAGATAGATAGTAGATAGATAGATAGACAGATAATTGAAATCAACGATACAAATTAAATATGACAATGTATATTCCTAAAAGACAAAATGACTCGTAAAATTGTTGATGTGAGTTATTATAAAAGGGTATTATAGACAAATAGTATAAATTGATTTCAAAGGAAATCTAAAAAGTGATAATTAAAAATAGTTCAGAAAGATAGAGAAAGAAAGAAAGAAAAAGAGAGAGAGAGAGAGTGTGTGTGTGTGTGTGAAAAAGGGCTTTGGGAATAGGGGAAAGGTGTTTCTAGCAACATTGCGCAAAAGCTGCCATAAATCTTTTAAATGCTGGTCTCATGCACGAGCTTGGTCAATTCCGGTAGGACCAAATTGTTCGAGCTGAGAAGCAAGGAGTTGTTGCCGGTGTCCGGGTTACTGCTGAGGAGTTGATTCAAGGCGTTGTTGGATGAGGATCTGTTGTTATTGGTGGTGGTGGTGGTGGTGGTAGCAGCGGTATTTGCAGTAGTGGTGGTATAATGATTGTTGTAAGCTGATCCAGGAACGTTGAGCAACAATGGCGAAGTTGGACTGTTGATCGAGTGTTGTGCTATCCTTGATCTCTTGGCATTAGTTTCATGATCCTGGTCACCGGTTGTATTCTTGTTGTGAGCAGTATTCTTGGCTGCGTAGAACGCGTTGTTGATGGTCATGCTGGTGGTGGTGTTTGTAGGGTCTTCGTCAATGTATGTGAAGTCGGATAATGGCCTTGGCCCGGTGTGGCTGCGTGAGCTGCGCATACTGTGTAAGCTGTGTAAACTATGGACAGAGCGACGCTCCTCCAGATCTTCCAGAGTCGACTTGAACGCTCTGATTACTCGAAGCTGCAAAAATAGGGAAGGACGTATTCTATCAGGAAGCGAGGATGAGATCTGCCAGGCCAGCAACACACATAAGCGCGCGCCATTTCTTTTTTCTTTTCTTTTCTTTGTTTTTTCTTTTTTTTTTTTCCTATCTCTCATCATGTTTCGATTTTTTTTTCCTCGTTGTCCAAATGTTTTTCTAATGGTATGTAAGTAAGGTGTATTATATGCGTGTAATATGTGTCTTATATTGTTTAATATTAATGCGTATCCGTCTCTTTCCGTATTCTTTGATATTTTCTATACGTATATTTCTTTTTTAATGATTTTTTTTTTTTAATTATTATTCTATTACGTCCATTCTTATATTTTTCTTTTACTTTTAGTACTTTTTTAATTTTATATTTTTTATTTTTGTTCTTCGTCTCTTCTTGTTATCTATTTGTTCCCCATCGTGTGCTCCATGTAATGCGTGTGTGTATGCGTGTATGTATACGTGTATGTATTTATGTATGTGTTTTATATTTGACGAGGAATAAAACATTTAAAATCAATCTATAGACGCACATTTACGAAGATAATACATCCGTACATGAATCATGTGTGTGTGTCCGCATGATGTCAGCTTCGTTTCCAGTTCGGACAAAAGGGGGGTAGGAATTACGAAAGAACAAAAATAATAATAATAATATAAATAATAATAAAAAAAATAATGATGATAACAACAACAATAATGATAATAAGATGGGTGTCGCGCAGTGCGAATCGACTAAATCGATTATGGTATTTATATATATGTACTATCGCCAAGTGCAAGCTAAATAATTGCAGACGATTTTTGGCTTACATGCGCAATCTATCTAATCATCTATGCGTACCTACCCACAAGTAGGTGCAATATTATTTTGGAAAATATTTGATTTGATTCTTTTTTTTTTATTTGTTTTTTGTTTTGTTTTTCCTCCCCATAAAAAAGAATATCCATATATATGTATATATTTAGAATCCACGATTTCGTGTAAATTTAATAATTATTATTATTATTTGTTTGCTCTTTTGGTTATCAATCTAATAAGTATATCGTCGATAAATAATAAATAGTATTAATTAATTGTCTAATGTCTGCTGGCAGTGATAGTCTTCTAATTTTTTTTTTCATTAGAAATTTGTCTATAGTATTCCTGAAAATCGTGGCGCACGTAATAATGTTTTGCATTAGAAATGGTCCGCAATACGCAGTCCTGCTGAACCTTTAAATATTTGTAAGAAATGTCCTTGTGAAACGAAGATAGAAGACAAGAATATGTACATATAATATGTAAATCTGATTAGAAGATATAGAATTTATAAAAATGTTCGAGATAAATAGATAAATAGATAGGTAGATAGATAGATAGATACATAGATAGATAGATAGATAGATAGATAGATAGATAGATAGATAGATAGATAGATAGATAAATAGATAGATAGATAGATAAATAGATAGATAGATATATAGATAGATAAATAAATAAATAGATAGATAGATAAATAGATAGATAGATAAATGGATAGATAGATAGATAAACAGATTTCAGATGTGATAAATATAGAATATAAATCACAGTGTTGAAATATGATTATTACCATAGTACAATAATAGTAATAATATAACCATTATTATTATCTAATATAATCTGTTAAATTAGTATAATATTGAGAGAGTAAAATTATAGATATAAATGTTTCGCTTTCTAATCAATCTAATACATATTATGTTTTTATGTGTTTTGTAATATGAGCCTGCTTAAAAAGAGATGAAAGAGGGGGAATAGATCGAATTAAAACGATCTAACGAGTTAAATATATATATGTACTTTCTAGTGTGGTATTTCTAAAAGATAAAATGATTATTATGTATATATAGGGTGTTCGGGTAAAAAAAAGGGGGTTCGGTATTTGAAGGGCTTATAGTACTCACCGAGGACAATAAAAAATGTCTAACTAACGTCGTGGGTCCTAAAATCAACCATTACGACGTAAATAGAATACGCTCATAATGATTGTATAAAAAAACCTCTTACACCCTGTATATAGTCGAATGATTTACACTTCTTCCATATATATCCACATATTATATTATATATATATATATAAGGGTATCGAACATAGTAACGGGACGAGTTATTCCTTGTTCTTATATTAAAAAAAAAATGTTCGCAGGAGTGTATGTGTGTATGTGTGTGGTATATGTATGTGTATAACGAAGAGAATATATCGAAAATTTGTCAAGAGTGTGAGAGAGAGAGAGAGAGTCCAACTTCATTCCGTATCGTATTAGCGAAAAAGCAATTGGAGGAAAATCATTTAAAGAAAGAAACATCTGATCGTGTATTATCAACCTGCCAAAAGGAAATACAAACAATATCGAGAGGTTGCCAGCGGGGAGGCACAGGTTATACCGAGGATAAATCACACGTAAATTATTCATGGACACACTCGCACACAAACGTACGATCCTGTTAGACGTCGAGAGGAATAAACTTAAAACACAATCACCCAAATATAATATATTATAAAAAAAAAAAGGAAAAAAATTTAATAAAGGACGATGCAAAACCGTGCACGTTGTTCACATTCTCGCACGCTCACACACTAAAATGAAAAAATCAAAAGAAACAGAGATAGATAGAGAGAAATAGAGAGAGAGAGAGAGAGAGAGAGAGAAAAGTGTTAGGAACTGATTGAATATAAGGTAAAATTATTCGTGTCAAATATTCTTCGTGTAAAATGTTATTGTAAAAAAATTAGGGAAAGAGAGGAAAAAAGAGAGAGAGAAAGATTAATCAAAGGAGAAAAGATTGCATCTTAGCAGGGAAGGAAAGAATAAAATGGTCGTGGTAGCGAGTTTGTATATTGAAAGGTAATATTTCTTTTGTTTTCTTGAGCGTATTTGTTGGAGTTGTTGGTTGGTCGTTGTGTTGTGTTGTTGTTGTTGGATATATAATATGGATAACACGCAGAGCACACTCATATCAGACAGCTAAAACTACTGAAGAAGCGCGGGTGGGCGGTGGATTTCCGGGTAATGGCGGCTCTTCCTTGTATTATCAGAGAGGCTTATTATCCCCACCGACCATCCCACATCCGCTACACAAAGAAAAAAAAACACATTGCCACGCGACGAAACGTCGTAGGCGACGTATCGATGCATCGCATTCCGAAAATCGAGCACACGAAAAAGGCTCTTCGTGTTTCATTGTTTTTTTTTATTCGAAATTTTGTTTACCCCTATGGAAACGAGCCACATTCCGTCGTGATATCGACTTCTTCGTCCCAAATGCGTATATTTGTCAATCCAAAATAATTAATAGAAATGCAATAACTCGACAGGTAATGGCTCTTAACCCTTTGAGTATCATTCAAAATTTACCACTCCTTTCATAATCAAATATGGCCGTTCCAACAAGTTTTTAATACACGAATTTACCAAATATAAAATTACAAGAAAAGTAAACGCAATATGTTGTTCTCTCTTTTATCTTTTCCTTGTTTCGTTCTTTTCTTCAATTTCTTGAATTACTTCGTAATTAACATTTTTTATCTATTACTCTTTGTTTATAACCTTAAATTATAACACTTAAATTTATAACCTACTTAATCTAGCTTTTTAACAATTATTCATTATAACAGTGATTCCCCATTTGTTTTCAAGTGACATTTGACTTTAATTAACTTTTCTTTTGAAACATTGTGTATTAATTTTTTTAGCAAAACAACATTTGAAGTTATTATAAAGATTGAAAACCACAGCATTATAATCTCAAACAATAACACATTCTCGCATGGTCGACTTTACTGTCATACAGCACTGGTTTCTCAAAAAAAAAAAAAGATAAAAAAAATAAGATTTGACAAATTAAACCGCCTATACCACTACATTGTAACATAAAATATAACGACAAACTTTAATTTGATTTGTTCTGACCCATCCCTTTCCCATAATCGTTTAAACGAAAATTCCAGGTAACATTGATACTCAAAGGGTTTAAAATAGGGGAAATTCTTTAGGACGAAATTATCGAGTTTAATATGAGAACAAATTCTATTGAAGTACTCGTTTGGGTATATATTTGAAAACGAGGTTAGAAATGTCTCAAATTAAACGACGAAAATGAATGGCCCTAAAGACGACGGTATAATGATACTACGATATTTGGGAATAAGGACGATGCACGTACGTACGCGAATCGACGATCCGCCGATGTTTGTGTATGCGTACGTAAACTTTCATATAATACAACGTATTTACGGCAGGCGATCTACGTTATATAGCTACGTACTTGTTTGTACTCCGACAGGATAAGTGTGGCGGCTGGCAAGACTGCCGCCTCGTTATACCTCAGTCTCTCGAATGGGTTCCGCTGGCTAACAAATCACAAATCATACTATCAGTCTTCTTTCTATCGTTTTCTACGTTCTAACGCGTTCTTTGCATTTTTCTTTTTTCTTTTTTTTATTCTTTTTCTTTTTTTTTAATTTAAAAAATTTTTGCAATAATCATTTTTCAATATCAATAATTACCCCATAAAAGAAGAAATTCGCAAGAAACACGATGAAAAAGGACAAAAGGCATAGCTCGTGCTTCGTTAGTATTTATCCAGAAGACAATAATAATATGTTTTTTCTAACGTGTAACAAAAAAAAGTATCGTTTATCCAACGATTTAAAAATAAAACAAAAAAAAAACAATCATTGAAAATTGAAAAGGGAAGCCTGTTTTTTCTTAGCGACATCAACGATGAATGAGTATATTGATATTAATCGCAAACGGGTAAATTTAAAAAAAAAGAAAATAGAAGCTTCAAATGGATACATATCTGTCTCTTTGAACTGCAACTAATGTAAGATTTCTCTTTCTCAAGAACGAACGAAATGAGAGAGAAATGGGGTAGAGAAAAAAACGTAAAGAAAAAAAAAAGAAAAAAAATTACAGATGTTTATAAAAAATCTACCGTTGAAGAACGACTTTCAACAGTATTTATAAAATATAATAATAATAATAAAAAAAAAAATTTAATTAGTTATATTCTTTTCAATTGTTATCTCCTCTTCCTCCTCCTCCTTCTTCTTCTTCTTTTTTCTTCTTCTCCTTATTTATTATCATTATTATTCTTCTTGATGTACGTAAGGACAACGCTCATTTTTCTATCGACTTTCAATCCAATTATTATTTTTGGTCGATTCGAGTATGAGCGTGCAACAAACGCACAGTTCAGTCCTCAATGTATTTTTTTCGTATCACAAAAAACCACACGCACACACACGCGCGCGCATATACACACACATCGATACAATGTATATATTATAATCGATATAACATCGTACGACGACGACCACTGTTAATGTCACAACAAAATACCACACTGCGTTATATATATATATATAAAGAAAAATCGAAAGAGAAAGAGAAAGAGAGAAAGAGAGAGACAGAAGAGAAAGAAAGAGAAAGAGAAAGAAAGAGAAAGAGAAAGAGAGAGAAAAGGGTATAAAATCGTTAGAAAAAGGATAGAAAAAAATAATACATGAGACGAATAAAAAACGAGACTGATGAAAATGACAAGGATGGATGAGTTTTACTCACTAGAAAGCGAAACACAGATTTTAAAAGAATATTTTCTTTTAAATATTAAGATAAAGAGAGATAGATAGAGAAAAAGAGAGAAAGAGAAAGAGATAGTCTAATAAAAACACAGGACACACGTACGTAGGCGGCGATGCACGAATCGCGTGATTCCTTAATTCGGACATTTTTTATTTTTATATTATTTAAACTTAACTTTATCTCGAACATGCGAACGTTCGATTAAACAACAAATTAATTAAATAATTAATCAACGAATAAAAATGTCCGAACAAAGTTGGCACGAGCGCGCGCACGTGCGACACTGAATATCGATAAACTTAAAATTATCAATATATGCATATATAAATATATATAAATATATACAGAGTGGTAAAAAAAAATGTGATACGATATTTGAAAGGTTTATAGTATTCACTAAGATGAGCCTAAAATGTCTAATTAACATGAGTCTTAAGATCAACCATAAATTACGTAAATAAACTGTTATTATTTATTAGCGCTCAATTTTGCAACATATTAAATTTATAGATAAATATTTTCTCTAAAAATACATTAGTTTTCTAAGAATATTTGACAATGTACCGTAATTTATGATTCGCAGGTTTCATAAGTGCATTTAAATGGAAGAGGAAGAATATCTATGATTTGTACATATTAGGTCATTAAATATGAAACGTCTAATTAGTATTAATTCGAAATCGAACATTTTATGCACAATTACTTAATATTATAAATTTAATATGTTATCAAAAAACTCGTTTACGATATCGAACGTTCACAAATAATAAAAATTAATTTACAGAAAAAAGGGGTTGATTTTAGAACCCACGTGGTCATTTAAATATTTTTTAATCATCTCCGAGTACTATAAACTCTTTAAATACCGAATCTCTTTTTTACCACCCTTGTATACATATATATATATATATATATATATATATATATATATATATAATATGTATGTGTATACATATATGATATAAAACACGGAACAGATTGGAATGAAACGAATACGAGGAGATAGGAAATAAAGATGAAAACACAAAAAAAAAAAAAAATAAAAAAAAATGATAAAAGTTCGAGAAGCATATGGCAGCAGCCAAAACGACCGTCAATTTTACTTGCAAAAATGAATATATCAGCTTTCATCGGAACCTTCTCGAAACTGCTGTAGCTCGTGTACGACGATAAGCTTTTATAAAAAGATCAATATAAAGAGAACAAAAAAATAACAAATAAAGGTAGAAAATAACAAACAAACAAAAAAAAATATATATATAATTTTGTACGGAGGTAACGCGTGCTCCTCCTCACAAATCATTTTAATGCTCCTTTTTATAATATCACGATTACAATGAAATATTATTTCAATAAAATATCTTGTTAACGCGAATGAACAAATTTACATTAAATTCAATAGTTTTGTATTATATTAATAATAATATTGAAAATATTTCTAAAATAATGTAAATCGTGTATTATAGAAATGAGACTTAAATGATTCATGTAATTAAATTTAACGTGTGATTCAAATGAAAATTTTAATATAAAATAATATTAAAAAAATATACGACGATAGCACTGCAACGAATTACTTGACACGTATTCGTTCATATAATTCACTTTTGAATTATTGCAAAATGTAAATGAAGCAGTATATACGTACGCATATATATGTATATAATGATAATGATAATAATAAAAATAATATAAATAATAAAAATAATAGTAATTATAATAATAATAATAATTGATAACACGAATCGAAATTAGCCGAGGCCCGCGCGATTCGCAAGCAGTTAGTGTGTGAAACAAATTCAACATCCAATATATATATATATATATATATATAATAAGGGATGTGTGTAAGGCACACAGAAAGACAGAATTTAATGTGCATATAATATATGTATATATATGTATGCATACATACATATATATATATACACATACAGAGAGAAAAAGGTAGAAAAATACAAAGAGGAAAAGCAAAAAAATCAACAACAGAAATTGAAACAAAACAAAAAATTAGAAAATTAGGAAATAAAAACAAAACTAAAAAATGGTATCCTCTGGATAGAACACAGGTTTCGAACCATTCATATTCGATCATAATAATGATCTAATTATGTCGAAAATAATAGAAACAAATAAATAAAGAAAAAATAAAGTACAATCATGTGAAACTATAGGATAACACTAAACAAAAATAAAAATTAAAAAAAAAAAAAATTAAAAACAAATATAAGAACAAGAACAAGAATAAGAATAAAAATGAAAATAAAAATAAAAATAAAAATAAAAATAAAAATAAAAATAAATAGTAATAATAACAGATTAATTAATTATGTAATATACGCAAAATAGAAACGGTTAATATCAGATCATCAAGACGGCCAAACAGTGCGGAGAGTGGATTTTTTGCGATAACTAACCATATGGTAATCCTGAGAGGGAGATCTGCCTGTCACAGATACATTCTGCACCAGAGTTCTATTGCTCGTCTGAAAGTAGGTCACACATACAGTTTTACATTGATGATTATCTAAAGAAAGTAAATGTGATCGATTTTTTAATAGTGTTTTTCTTTTTGTTTTCATGTTTTTTTTATCTGTCTCTTTTGGTTTTTAATTATTTTGTTGTTGTTGTTCTTGGTTCGTTATCCCTTTTTTTATTTCTTTTCGCTTCCTTCTTACGATTCATTATTCCCTTGCATGGTCTAAAAAGTATGGTCGCTGCTGTATATTTTTATTTTGTTTTAATTAACTTATTTCTTTTTAATTATTTGTTCGTAACTTTGATATATATATACACATGTGTAGAATTTCCCATCCGGAGAAAATTATTCAGTGAGAGTTTCTTGAAGGCTCGTATAAAAAATTGCGGTGAGTAATCAAGAATAAAGAAAATGTAGTATATTGTGTATATATGCATACGTTACCGTTAATATGTCCAATTTATTAATCTGTAGAATAACTTGGTTTTTCATGAAATATCCAAATAGATCGGTTAAAGTATAACATAAGACAGTATTATATACTTCAACTACTTATTAAATGCATTTATTAGAAGCAATTAAAATATGCAATGAAAATTTGATCCCAAGTACAAGAAAAATATTTTTCAATTTTGTTTAAATATCTGTTTATAATATTGTATTCTTATAAATCCAAAAACAATAGATATGTGTTATTTAATCCCTTTAAATCAATAAATAAATTCTATCTCGAGATTAAATAATATTCGCTTAAAAAGTTTATCCAGATTTTATACAATAGTGAAGTATAGGTACGATAACTATTATTTCTAGACAAGCATACACACAGTATAAAAAATTAAATTATTAAATCATATTACAAGACCTATTTATCTTTTAATAAATAAATGCATTCTAATATATTGAACCAAGACTAGACCAAAAAATTAAACAAATGTTTATGAAAACTTAAAAATCTTTTGAAAAGAATATTTCAACTAGTTTCATATAAATTAATTTTAATACTTTTCAATATTCTGTATATTTTTTAACAGATCAATTTTAGATTTTAAAACCTCATTTTTACAAGATTTAAAATAACACGTCTTAAAATATAGTAGGAATGGTCACCGTAGGTATAGATAAATATTGAAACAAAATCTAAAAATATTTATCTTATATACTTGGGATCAAATTTCAATTTCATGCTTTAACTATTCGCCTCTTATGAAATAATATAAATATAACCTAGTTATATATCTAAAATAACTAGTTTAAGTATACAATAAAATTATTTTTATATGCTTTTCTTAAAACATTTAATTATTTTATACAATATCAAGTTATTCTATAAAATAATAAAATAAAACACTTAAACAGTAACATATATACATCGCAAGAATCGTGAAAGAGAGAATGGCGAAGAGAATGGGAAAGAGAAAAAAAAAGGGAGGAGAATTTTAGTTTAATGAGGGTAAGAAAAAGAGAATAAGATCAAAATTTATGTGAAAAAACACTTAGAGATATAAAGAAAGAAATAATACCAGCAGGAAGATTAATGGAGATAGGAGAAATCGCGATTTAAATTCATTAGATAGATTAGAAATATAAATGGAAAAAAAAAATTAAATATATATGTATATAGTATATATAAAAACGTATATATAAAGTATATATGTATATATATATTACACAAAGAGAAAAAAAGAATCTTTGAAAAACGTTCTTTTTCTTTCTTCTTTTCTACGTATAAAAATATAACGATGATTAATACTAATCAAAAATGATTTCAATGAAAATGAACGTTTCGCGATATCTTCTCTTCTCAAAGTTTATCTAGATTTGATTGCTAAGACAAAGAGAGAAAGAGAAAAAGATAAAAATAGATTATGTATAGAAACATATATAGATATATAGATAAAGATAGATTATATAAAAAGAAAATAAGAAAGAGAGAGAATGAGAGTAAGAGAAAGAGAAAGAGAGAGAGAGAGAGAAATATAAATATAAATATAAAAAATAGTTCTAGCCGAGGACTGCGTGGACCATTGCTAAATTTGTAGCTTTTTAATCGATGAAAATTGTTTTACGACGTTACCCGAAAAGCAAGCTGCTTTAAATCGCAGGTTATTCAAAGGGCTGGATTTGGGTGAAGGGCTTCACTGGATTTGATAATAACGTTTCAAGGGGGTATTGTGGAATAATAATAATAAATTGTTATTATTAAATAATAAAATAATAACCCTTCATCGACAACGTGGGACCCACTTATTGGGACCCACAGACATCGTATTCCAATCATTATTTTTATTTTAAATCAAAATTTATATAAACAATAACGTAATAAATTATTAGGCAATATTCTAAAAACATTAAAAAGTAGTAGTAAAATTTTTTCCTTCTTTTTTAAAGAACGATATCATTGAAAAAAACCATTTTGTCGACGGAGGGTTAATAATAATGATGATTATGATGAAGATGAAAAGTGGTGACGGTAATAGTAATAAACATACGTTTTTGGTAGATCATAACAAAGTTTTTAAAGGGTTGAATGTTTGTTTGTTTGTTATATCATTATTATTTTGTTTATTCTGTAATTCCGACTCGATGATATACGAATCCCCGAAACGCCAAGACGATCGAGTTCATGTCACGCATATACAATATTTTCTTTTTTTTTGTTTATAAATATTACCATGTAGTAGAGCAGTAGTAATAGTATTAATAGTAATAATAAAAATTGTAAACTTATGTTAAATATATGTAAATTAGTACTACCTTTCTCATATCCGTTTTGACATAAACAAAATCTGTTGCACATTAGAAATGTGGGCGACATGGAATGGGAAATTAAAATTATTAACTGGGAAACTGTCGTCAGGCTGGCTCTTTTTTTTTGTAAAGGACTAGCACGCTAGAAAATAAACAAAATAAGAGGGTACAAGGGTTGGGGGTTGGGGAGGGGGTGTTTTCTACTAGCTCTACTTATGTACGTTTATCATTTTAGCCAGTGACTTCGGATGGTAAGAACTTTCGTCGTTCACGTAGATATAAAAACGCGATAATATTATTATGAGTATGATAGTGAATATGTGATTTTTTGTAATTACGTCATGTACGTTAACAGTCAACAGTCGTGATTATTTATTAATTATCCGGTCGTTAAATCCGTCAAAGTCGATACTTTGTCTCAGAACGATTAAGTCACCTTCCACTTTGCGTCCTAAAATTTTTGTTTACCTAATTTTTCTTTGTTTATTATTTATATATATATTTTTTTATTATTTTTTGTATCGTTGTTATTATTTTCTTTACGTAATCTCGTACACACATCTCTCATGTGAACAAACATTATTCTCCAATCGATCTTTCTCAAGATCGAAGAATCTTCGTCGCGACGGTACGCTTTTTTTTCTTATTATTATTTATTATATTAATTTTTTTTTTTAGTTAAATTAGATATACCTTATTATAAAAGATAGGTAGGATTCGATGGAGTATATAGTCGAAATCGAGTATGATAATTTGAGAAAGATAGAATAATAGATAGATTAAACGGAAAAGAAAAGAGAGAGAAGGAAAGTGAAATAAAAAAAAAAAAATAGGAAAAAAAAAGAGAGAAAGAGAAAGATGATGAAATATCGACTTGTACACTGTCGCTGGAAGAACTAGCCAGTACTTGAATAATTTGTTGGTTTTCTTTTTTTTTGGGGGGGGGGAGAGGGTTTGCAAATAAGTACATACGTATATTATGTAAAGGACAAGTATATCGTGATGGCAACGATGACGCGCGGTTTCCTAAAAAAAGTTCCTAGAATAAAAAGGGCTGTAACGCGAAAATATATGAAATATATTATATATCACATATAAATCCCGTGTGTTCTCGTTTAGCGAGAGACAACGCGGTACATAAATAAAATCCTTGCAATTATATATCTCTGGGCTCTGTTCTTTTTATATATATATAATATATTATTTTTTTCTGTCTTGTGGTTTTCTTATATTAAAAAAATATTTTAATAAATTAAATAGTATATATTCTTGTGGTTATAAGTCGATGATGGGATTCGAAGAAATATTGATCTTGATAGAAAAGTTGATATAGATTGGTAGATAAAGTGAGTAAGAGAGGAAGGAAGTAAGAGAGTAAGAGATTTAGAAAGAGAGAGAGAGAGAGAGAGAGATAGTTTAGAGAGAGAAAGAGAGAGAGATAGAGATAGAGAGAGAGAGAGAGAGAGAAAGAGAGAAAGATTGACCGATGACATGAGAATGAGAGAGATAGGGATAATTACCTGTGTCTGTAGCCGTGTTAGACCACGGATCCATAGTATTTGTCCTGCTCGCGGCTTTTTATCCGAGTCTGGGTCGAATTTCTCGTCTCCTAGATTGATAGCACCGATATCATCCGGCTGGCCGCGGCCCCATCTGTTTTTAAAAAACATTAAACCAGTTCTTCATCACTCAAGGTCCCTGTTAAGGGGTGGTTTTTTTTTGGAAAAACTTGTTGATTCTTGTTTCTCGCTTTGTTTGTTAGTAGTAGTAGTAGTAGTAGAAGTAGTAGTAGTAGATTAGTAGTAGCAGTAGTAGTAGTAGTAGCAGTAGTAGTAGTAGTAGCAGTGGTAGTAGTAGTAATAGTAGTAGTAGTAGTAGTAGGACGGCCGATGATGCATCTTTTTATCGAAGCTAGCAGAGGGGGGAGGGAGGGACATAGATGCACACACCAACAGAAGCAGCTCCTTCGTCGCAATGCACCGAAATCCGGGGTCCCTGTTCTGTTTTCCCCCCTCGCTTCTTTATAGCCTCATAATCCTAATTATTTTTTCTTTACTAGACGTTAATATAATATGTTGTCTAGTTTTTGTGAGGAAATATACTATTATATATATATATTTGAAAATGTTATCTCTCGCGTAAAACGGAACGAATGATATGGCGGTACTGTTATGATGATATTTGTTATTTTGACGAAATGTTTCGTATGATTGCTGTGTTATAATAATTTGTTATTTTACCGGCAGCGAAAAAATGTTTTATTCGTTCATTGGCTCTATTTAAATTCACATTGTTAGTAGAAAAATTTAGGCACTTAATATTATATGCAGAAATGTAAAAAAATATGGTTAAATATTTAAAAAGATCATAATATTCACCAAATGGGTCTTAATATCAACCCTTAAAACGTAAAATAACTTTTATTATTCTTTTATTTTCTATGGCAATGTATTAAAATATACATAGAGGAATTTCTATAGAAAATCTTTCTATAGATTTCATAGAAGAAATCTAATATTTTATATTTAGTAATCTATTATATTAGCGTCTACGAAGTAATATTTGTTAATAATTAGTAATAGTTTTATCTTGAAAATCTTGAATTAAATTTATTTCTAACAAGGCTTGGATGATAACAGTAAACTTCTTAAAATGAATGTTATTTTGTAAAATTTAAACTTTTAAATTATTTTTTTTTTCGTTATAAGTTAACTTTATACATAATTACAATTACATTACAAAGGATTAAATTAGATAGCGAAAAACATGTTTTTTTTATAATTAAAAAGATGAGCCAATGAACGAGAGAATGGTTGAAAGGTGCAATACGATTATGTACATATATATGTATGTATATTATTTTGTTTGCGTAATTATGAAAGAAAAAGCAAATGAAATGCGTGTTCTCTTTTTGGATGATGCGACGATGAAGAAGATTACATCGTATTAGTTGTTAATTTTTAAGAACGAGTAGACGAGTAGAGAGAGAAAGGAAAAAGAGAGAAAAAGAAAGATAGAAAACGAAAGCGGAAAAACAAATAAAGGAGAACGAAAAAATAAAAAGGCAGTAGTAGTAGTCATAKTCATAGTAGTAGTAGTAATAGTATAGTGGATTAATGATAAGGAACAAAAAATGGCCATTTAAATAAGAGAGAAAGAATAAACGCGTAATTATCGTTACAAAAAAGTTAAGAAGTTAACAACAAATAAAATCGATATTTCTTATCTAATTTGTACTTTTTCTATCCGTTTTTTAAAGTTATACTTCTTTATGCGCATTGAGAGTGAAATTTTTGTTGCGCGCGTATTAAGCAACAAAAGCATAAAGTTAACCATTAAAAAAAAGTTAAGTTAGAATATATCTTATACCGGCTCCATTTTACTCTTACAAATCAATGAAAAATAAATCATATTAAAATTATAATCAAAAATTAAAAAATATATGCACGTATATATTACGTATAGATATCATTGATCGTGAATAGATATAATATAATAACATTACTTACATACATATTGCTGTTAAATTTTGATAAAAATTATATAACTAAATTTAAATCAGTTAATCTAATTTAATTAAAATTTATCAATCGTATTTTATTGTTCTATTCGTATGATTCTTGTGCGCGTGCATATTTATAACCCTTAACTTTTCTTTCAATCGCGCAAAAGAAGTATAACTTATGACATAAGTATATAAATACACGTGACAATTATTTTCTTATAGGGTTCATAGATCACAATCGTAACTTTCTATAATTAATTATTACACTAATCGTAAAATGTTATCTAAAACATCGTTCTCGGCGCGCACGTCGAATTAGGCAAATATTACTTTACGCAAAGGTTAACGTAATTATCATAAAAAAAAAAATAAAGAGAGAGAGAGAGAGATTGAGAGATTAATTTTACCTGTTAAAACTCGAAAATCGTACGGCCGAATTACGATAACGAAAGAGGTTAAGATAAAGAAAGAGATAGCAGTAGAGAAAGGAGATAGGGTTAGTTTAAAAGTTTAATAAAGCGGATACATTTAAATACAAAACAAAAGGAAAAAAAAGGATACTAAAGCAATAGATATTGTTTTGATCGAGGGATATACGTGCTTGGAATATGTATATGTATATACAATGTGAGCCAAAGTTCCTAAATGAGCCAACAAGTTAAAAGGTCATTTTTCAATTGATGTACTCTTTTCCTAGACTAGTTAAGCACGTAGTTATGTTTTGTATTGATAAGTTAGGCTGATAATTTGATGTGTATGTATATAAAGATTAGTTTCAACAGTTTAAATAAAAAGTCGTTCATTTTAAATATCGGATAAAAATTTAGAGATCATTTTACGTTACTTGCGAATTTACAGGCATGATGATTTTGTCACAGACGCGTCATGATGGCGTATTATTAGGAGGATAAAGCAAAATAAAAATATCCAGTGATTTGTTTACACATTGTCAACAACAAAAAAAGATAGATTTGCTTTTTGCAATTACATTAATTGTAAGGTGCATTTTAAAAGGATAAAACAAAGATAGAGATGTGTTAGGATAGTGCATAGAAAGAAAGAAAGAGATAGAAAGAGAGAAAGAGAGAGTGAGAGAGAGAAAGAAAGAGAGAGAGAAAGATGGCGGATAGAAAAGGATAAATTACGAGAAGAAATTATTAATTGATTAAAAGAAAAATCAAAGAAATAGAAAGATTAACAACATAAAATGATATCGTAAAGCGTAAACACAGATAATCAATATTAATTATTATTATTATTATATCGGAGCGATCATTAGTTAACACAGACCATTAAAAAAAGCTGTTAGAGTGATATCGAAGAATTTTCGACTTTAACTTTGATTGTTTTGATTAGTCGAAGATTTTTTGTTCAATTGAAGATTTGCTTTAATTGCAGTTTCTTCATTTGCTAAAACGTATGATTTTTAAATTACCGTGTCGTCGGCTCGCCAGTCGCTCGATAATACACAAACAAGTACGTAGATTTTATATTTATCAATTTTTCTTTTTTTTTTCTTTTTTTTCGTTAATTCATGCAAAGGTGAAGATCATAATAGGGAGAGAGGAAACATATATTTGGGTGTCTTTAAACTCGCGAGTATTTATAATGTATATATATATATATATATATATATGTATATTTTGTTAATATCGAATTATTTGTTAGTATCAACTTTGACGTCCAACGTGCTCTGATATACGTACATACTTAAGATTCGTTCCTGTGATACGTCAAAATTATGTATTAATAATGATTTATAAAGATTTGAAAATATTTATATATGTGTAGATATTGATTTATTTCTCATCTAAAATTAAATTAACTCTTTGAGTGCTGAATACTACTATCGGAAGCAATCCACATGTGGGAAATATTTTTTCTAATCATTTGAAGTATTATGTATTGATTAAATAAAAGAAAAAAGAAAAGAATCTCAAACGCGAAGAAGGTAGAAAAAATTGGTAGACGCATATATGCGTCCAAAGTCCTCAGAGATAGCTTTTAGTTGAAACGCATATATGCGTTCTAAATCCACATGGATTACTTCTGCTGGACATAGCACTGAAAGGGTTAATAAATATATAAAGTCTAACCTAAAGAGTATTTTCAAAGTATAAAATTGTAAAGAATAAATTTTAGTTAGCTATACTTCTACGTGCATAGAGAAATCATCTAAGAGGAATATCGCGTGAGATCGATCTCGACACCGATCGATCAAAGCTTCGCATCGCATCATACACGTGAGAAGAAAAAATACATTCGAGGTAAGTATCTCAGAGCACTAAGGCGTTTTTCTAATTTTTCAAGCGTCTCGAGTTCAAGCGACATAATTCAATCTTAGAAATATTATTACGAAATTTTTTTCAAATTTAATTTCATCCCCTTTTTTTCTTTTCTTTTAGTTTAAGCCAAGTGTTCTAAATTGTTTAGCCATATCAATAAAAATTGGAAGCCTGTGAAAAGTTATTTTGAACAAAATGCTTTTCACAGCGATGACAATTTATTCGTCAATATATTTTTTATTTTTATATTAACTTTTCACAAATCTTTTTGACAAAAAGATCCAAAAAACTTTTCTTAATCTAGAAAAAGAAAGAAAAAAAAGAGACGATTTAATCAAATTGAAAAAATAACTAATATTTCTACGACCGACACTGCAATTTTATCCAAATTCTTATTAGTGAAAACAATGAACGCAGGCTGTGTGAAAAATTCGATCGTGAGTTAAAAAAGCAAATACAACATCGTATTGGTTTATCAAATAATAGGAAAGAGTTGGATAGGGTTGGTGATATAAGTACACTAACACTGATTGTCTTTAAATTTCAATTAAATTGATCGACAAAGGGCGAATTTCAAATCGATCATGCAGAGGCATACTACTAATTGTAAGTATGGAAATCAAATTAAAAAAAAAAAAGAAAAAGATACTAAATTTGATTTGCTAGCGATTAGTTAATAAAATTCAATTAGAAAATAGATGATCTTAATTAATTAATTAATTAATTAATTAATTAATTAATTAATTAATTAATTAATAATAATAATAATAATAATAATANTTGAGCACACAAAATGCTGGTTACCGATGGTTATTGCCAATGATGATTACTGTTATTATAAATTCTTTTCTTTTTTTTTCTTTTTTTTTTTTTTTATTAATTAATAATAATAATAATAATAATAATAATAATAATAATAATAATAATAATAATAATAATAATAATAATAATAATAATAATAATAATAATATACGAACACGTATTTTGAAAGGACTTTGAGCACACAAAATGCTGGTTACCGATGGTTATTGCCAATGATGATTACTGTTATTATAAATTCTTTTCTTTTTTTTTCTTTTTTTTTTTTTTTGTTAAAAGGTACGTCACCTGTAAAACGATATATTCTTTCTATATGTACACATACTCAAATGTTATCCGCAGGAAAGTTGCATGTTATAAAAATGCGGTAAAGCAAGATCCATTGCCGATCTTATTCTGGTTCTTTTTTTTTTTTTTTGCTAACTCCATGCTTTTGATGTACGTATCGAATAAAATTAAAGGAACGATGGTACACATTAGTATATATAAATAATATCCATTCCAGAAAAAAAATGAATTATATATATTAAGTTAGTAACACATTTAAAAGTTGCTAGGTGATTTTATAAATCAATTACTTTTATTCGAAATTCTTTGGGCTAATTTTTGTTCAGACTGTAAAACTACAAATCTAAGTTTCTTAACAATTTGAATAAAAATCAACATAATGATTGATCGAAAAAAAGTAATTTATTAATAAAGTCGCCTAAAAACTTTTGGCCCACCCTGTATTCGTTTTACTTAATGCAAAATTAGTTTGTTAATTATTATCATCGTATGATAACACGTATATATATCGATCGATGATTATTATCATATACATATAATTTGATCGTAGATCCGATCTCACATATAAATATATCCTGTTGTTCATATTTAAAAAAAAAAAGAAGAAAAAAACTATTCAAAGGAAAAAAAGAGAGATAATTTATAATTAGCTAATTCTAAACGATTAAAAAGAAATAAATAATATTTAAAAAAAAAATATATATATATATAAATATATATTGTCTATTCACTTACGAGAGAATTTTGGGTATCTTCCGTGTAGGAATAGTCGTGACTACTTGGCCCCACAATAGCGTCCCGATTCCGAAGAACAGGCACCACATCCATTGTTCTAACGTAAGAGCTTTTGTGCTAAAGGCCATTTTACCGTATTGTATGATGATTACCTAGAAAAACAAAACAACAAACACGTATCAAATTTTATTAAATTCATTAAGATCACCATAAGGGGCTTACGATGATCTAGAACATTAACCCTTTGAGTATCAAAGAAATTGTTCACTTTGGTCATAACTAAAATGTAGCCATTCCAAACACGTAACGGAACAGAGGCGTACCAAAAATAGGGTGACAAGAAAAGTAAACCAAATATTTGGTTCTCTTCTCTTTTTCTCTTCTTTCTTTTCTGCAAATAATTTCTAACTTACCTTTTCACGTTTAAAATAAATGATAAAGAAGGGAGACGCACATACAAACCAACATTAAACCATTATACTAATTAATGATAAACTTCAATTTAATTAGTTGTATCCTCACAATCGGTCGCATGAACATTTCTGGCATCTTTGATACTCACAGGATTAAAGGTGAAATTGGAAGTTTAAATTTCATCAACGTAACAATGTCGCGTAATGTCTATTCTTCTCACTTCGCTCTTTATCTCTTTCTCTCTCGAAAAGGAGAAGAAGAAGAAGAAGAAGAAGAAGAAGAAGAAGAAGAAGAAGAAGAAGAAGAAGAANAAAGGAGAAGAAGAAGAAGAAGAAGAAGAAGAAGAAGAAGAAGAAGAAGAAGAAGAAGAAGAAAAAGAAGAAGAAGAAGAAGAAGAATATAATAGCAGTAGTAGTAGTATCAATAAATCGATTCGTTCCCATAACTTTCATATTACTCAAATGTCAACTTGTGATAAGATTTGATGTAATGAATGATCGTTTAAAAATAATTCTATTTATTTGGTCATTATATATTTCGTAAAGTTAATGATTAGTACGATAATGATCCAATAATAAGCAACCTTTGTACAATCAGAAAAATAATTTTCGTTATTTTTGATAATACATATAACACACATTGCAGCCTCACGAACGGGCGCACTTAACACACGCAAAGTTTTGTTGCTTATAAAAAATGTGTATAAGGAATGGGATATGCGAACTAATTACCTGCGAGAAACACGTGCCAATCCAAATAGAATAAAATATAGGGTTGGTGAATATTCCCTGGAAGACATTGCGCTGACCGTGAATTTTTCTGGCATTAAATTCGTTGAAAAGAGTCATCATGACGAAGGTATTAAAGATGACAGTGAAATGTTGAGTAGGTCCGCCACCTCTAGCCGCAACTCCTCGACCAGTTTCGATATCCAGCATCTTGTCACCTGAAATAAATTACAATTTGGGGAATTGATAAGCATCAGAACGAGAGAAAGAGACAAAGCGAGAAAGAATATGTTAACAAATGTTGGATTCACAGGATAATTGAGGAAGAAAGATCATCAATAATTGACCCCATTCATTCATTCATTTTGTACCATTATGACGTAAAGATCATATTTGGGTATATACTAAGGGAATAAGGACATTATTGTATAAAATAGAATAGTAATAAAAGACTTACCAACGAAAAGAAGCATAAAAATAACAGTCAACTGATAAACCGCTTGACCAAGAATATTTTTCATCATCGTCCTTGAGATGAGCGGTTTTGTGCGTCCGTAGGGTTTGCGAAGTAAAAGATCCGGCGTAGGCATTTCGGTAGCAAGGGCAAGCGAGGCTAGCGTGTCCATAATCAAATTAACCCACAACATTTGTACCGCTTTTAATGGTGAATCTTGTACGGCACATGCTCCGATAAAGGCGACGATAACAGCTACAACATTAACGGTCAGCTGAAATTGCAAGAACTTTGCTATACTATCGTAAACGTTTCTGCCCCACATAACAGCCTTAACGATGGAAGAAAAATTATCGTCCGTCAAAATGATGTCGGAAGCTTCCTTGGCCACATCCGTTCCAGCAATACCCATTGCAAATCCAACGTCAGCTTTTTTCAATGCCGGACCATCGTTCGTACCATCACCGGTCACGGCTACAACCTCGCGACTGCTCGTAGCTTTACTATCGATAATGCCCTTTACCAAAGTATACTTATCGGTTGGCGATGATCTAGCCAAAACCCTTAATTTCGGCCACACTTTGTCCAACAGATGTTGTTGTACCTCACCGTTACTGTCCCTGATTCTTCGATTAAACTCCTTCCCTTCGAGAATAAGAAAGTCCTCATTCGGTTTGAATATGCCGCACTTCAAGGCGATCGACCTAGCCGTATTAATATTGTCACCGGTTACCATTCGCACCGTTATACCAGCCTTTTGGCACTTTTTAATGGCGTCTGGTACCTCGGGACGTACCGGATCCTCGATACCAACTATAGCGAGACATGTTAAATTGTTCACGATGTTTTCCTCATCGTCCCAATTTGGCTCGTTTTCCGAGTGTACTTGGTTGATCTCCGCCTTCCCCGGTACAAAGTCACGATATGCGATCGAGATTGTACGTAGACCGTCGCACGCCATTGGTTCTATCACGTTCTTCACTAGACGTTCTTGCATCTCTCTCGTAAATTTTTCCAGATGACCGTCGCGACCGTAGATAAAGGCACATCTGTACAGAAATCGTAAACAATTGTTAATAAGCTGCATGACGTTATTGCATTAGAATTGTTTGGTAATTATTGCAATGTAAAGACCAAAAATCGACGTACTTCTTCATGATGATCTCGGAAGCGCCCTTGGTGAAAAGCCTGTAACCACCACCTTCTCTTGGGATAACGGTGGACATGCTCTTCCTAACGCTATTGAAAGTATAGACCCGCGTGAAAGTTTCCTCAGGGTGGTCATCTCTAACCGTTTGATATTTTTCGCCCAGGGCCACTACGAATCCAAGTAAGGCACATTCGGTTTTGTTACCGACTTGCATCGGCAATTCTGAAGGGTCTTGCGAGGGCATGATTCTGGACGTGTATGCCGAATTAATGGAGATGGCTTGAATTAATAAATTTCCAACGTGGCTCGGGATTTCGGAAAAATTTGGAACCGTTTTGCTCATTTTCTCGCACAAGTAGGACTGCACTACTGTCATTCGGTTGGTCGTTAGGGTTCCGGTTTTATCCGAACAAATGGCGGTAGCGTTACCCATCGTTTCACAAGCATCCAAATGCCGCACCAAATTGTTGTCCTTCATCATTTTCTACAATCAAATATATGCACAAACGATTGTTAATAACGACAACATTGCTCGTAATATAAGTAAACACTTTGTAATACAACAATACTACAAAGTTCGTTTAATTAATGATATAATCAAAAATGTAAGATGATGAATTTAACCTTGACGGAATAAGCGAGAGATAACGTGACAGCCAGAGGAAGGCCTTCAGGTACGGCTACGACGAGGACAGTCACACCGATAATCAAATGCCGTACCAGATCACCGGCATAAGTGTTCTTCCATGGCAATCCCTGCATTACGAAAGTCGACACACAAAATTGTATAACTAGAATGATCACGGTGAGCACTGCTATGGTTGAGCCAGCGTAACCAATTTGTATGGCGAGCTTTGTTAATTTAGCTTGTAGTACGCTCTTTTCCTTCTTAGTACTCTCTCCGCCACTTGCTTGTCCACCTCCATGATGATTTTCTCCACCCTCGTGTTTACCTCCGCCACCACTTCCAACAGCATGGCTGTTTCCGGTGATTTCTGCCGCTTCGTCTCCTTCGTTTCAAATACATTTCATTAGATTTAATTATTTTTTTCTTCAATTCTTTAATATTATTTCATTCCAACTATCGAATTTCAATTTTTACGCTCTTAATATTATAATATTTATTCTTCAAACCCAAAATCATACAAATAATAAAATGTACCTAAAGTATTCTACAAATGAAAAAGATCCGTTCGATTGAATTATCGTTCAACTTTGAGCGTAAAATTTGATAACTTTCGATAAATTCATTCTAATTGATTACATTATTTAATACTATTGTATCAAGCTAATATCAATAATCGAAAAGAAAAAAGAAAAACTGAAAAAGCTAGGATTCTAAGAAGGGTAAGGTAAATGAAAATAGTATCTTGAAAAAAGGCTAAAGCATGACATGACACGACACATTAGAAAAATACATGAACAAATAATGAAGATAGGGATCATCATCATCATCATCCTTAAAATGCAATAAAGAAAGCAAAAGACGAATTATGAGGTTACTAATAATCCCAAATGCATAAACCACTGGCAACAAAACACTCAGAGAATATGAAAACAGTTAAGCAAGGGTAATAACAAATTAAATTGATTTTTGTTTTTTTTTTGTTTTTACCTTACTTTTAGTTTTTGTAATTACAAAAACAAAAAGATTCTAATAATAAAATAATGTATATGTGATTTAAATAAGAAGTAAAAGATAAGAAGGCTGTAGAGTGCAGAAATGAAGAAGATAGAGTGTGTGAAGTTACTAGAAAAAAATGAATTCAAGGATAAAATAAACTTAAATATACTATATCAAATGTTGATAAGTCGAAATAATATTTAAAGATGCCAATCGATATCTTAACATCAACTACATCGGCATAATTGAAAATGACTAATAATAAATATATATATATATATATATATATATATGTACATATATATGTACATATATATGTATATTATATAGTGTGTAATCACCTGGTAATGACTTCTTCTTCCGCTGCTTTTTAGCCTCTAGATAAAAAAAATACATGCAAAACAAAATTGATTAGCACTCTATCTAAAAGTATCGTATATGCCAATGACAATTTGTGCCACATTTTATATTGCATTGTCGCTTTTTGTTTCTTTTATTTTCTTTGTCTAAAAAATGCTTTCAAAATTTCTAAAATCAATACAACAACAACATAGAAGATATATTCGTACATCTTCTAAGTTGCATCAGGGTTGCGTCAAAGTATCGATCATATAATAAAATATTACCGTATAAAAAATTATCGATTTTTGTTTGTTTCTTTGTCTTTTTTTTGTTAATTTCTTGTATATTGAAAAAATTGGATAAGATAAAATAATATAGCATATTATATAATAATATACATTAAAAATAATTCGACAGGACAAGAGAATAAGATACAAATATAAGAACATTATATATTATCTAGAATTATGCTAACATAAATCGAAATAACATATGATCACACAAGATATGCGATACATTAATGGAAAATATAATAGTTCTTGCGCATACAGACAGACATTTATTTATGTAACCATGTAAAAAAGGTCAAAGTTACATATAGGAACGAGATAAGAGTATATTATTTAATCGAATACTCTAATCGAATAAAAAAAAAAACAATATTTCCTTATTGAATTTTGCATGTACGTATACGTAAATTTATTGTAGGATTTATCGTAATATTATTTCAATTTAATATTATATTGAAATAAAAAAATATTTACATTTGACTATTTAATAAGTATATCAATGCTATATTTAATAAGATGGAACTTGGATTGTATGAAAATATTTATCAGTGCCCTATAAAAATTCTCAAACGAATATTTATCTGTGTGTAATTGAATGTATTATTTAGTACTTTAACTAATTGTTAATTAATAAATTAATCAAAACTAGTATGTAGATTTAATTTGGTCCTTTAACACATTGCGGATCAGATATTTTATTACTAATTTTAACCAGTAGCTAGATATTTTTTTGCATCAAATATTTTTAAATTAGTTAATATTTGTTAATAGTTAAAAATTATTGTCACGTAAAATATTTATTTACAGTAAAAATTTTAAAAATGACTGATTTTTCAATATATATATACTATCTTACTTTGGTGGCGCAACTGTAACGCCCTAATTACCTTCAAAATTTTCTAAGTTCGATTGAAAATCTTTTGTTGATCAATTACAACTATCAAAATTTATCACTACTCTATCAAAAGAAACTATTTATTAAATGATCACTTATCTCTGACTTAGAGTCACTGAAAATTAATATTTTCTTTTTTTGGCTCATATAATAATCTCACTGTCTCCACTTTAATCGCTATCAGAACGGAAATCGTTATTACGATCATTTGAAAAATCATTCATTTTCTTTAAAACTCTCTATTATCAATTAGCATTTGCGTGATATCATTACAACGGCCGCAAATAATAACATATGAAAAAGGAGATATCTCGTCTTTAGTCCGCATTGTGTTAAGTGGCAAAAGTAATCATATATCTATTAATCGCGTAACATTTTTCAAATTTTTATACATTAACTTTAATAAAAAAAAAAAAAAAAAAACGAATAAAGAGAAAGCGCATAGATAAGTTAAACATGCTAGAAAATATCTTATCTAGATCAAATCTGATTTGTATTTAGTATTTATGTTTCTCTTGTTAAAGGAATACCTTGTACTTGCTACTTAAGGAGTTAAAGGTATTGCAAGTACATGCTAAAGAAAAAACACGGGGTACAAATTGATAGTCGTGTAATTCATAATAAAAAAAAAAATTGTCACACCAATTCAACTGAAAACCATGCCTACACTGTACTTTCTCTACACTTATTTTGTGTATTTGGAAATATCATGCCTTGAAATAATAATCCCACTACTTCTTCCCGATAAATTAAAAATCTTTTGTATGCTTTTTTTATTTTTTTCTTTCTTTTTTTTCCAAATGCATTTTTCATCTTCAGACAAAACATATTGAAATGATTTATGTATCATCTTTGATATAAGAAGTAGCGAGTTACAAATTCACTGAATTATCCGACCAGTACAACCTCGTAAAAATATATTACTACATATAATAAAAATATACAGCATATAACTATAAATTTATTAAATAATTTTTTAGGAGGTCACACTATTCTGATAACGAAGTGACTCTGAATAATGAAGTGGCACAATTTGAAGTTGTAAGTAATTAAATATATATGTATCAATGTCATACCTTTTTTCATCTTCTTTATCTCTTGCTCTTGCTGGTCAACAGCAGCACCTAACAAGGTGAAGATTATACCAGCCTGAGAGTTAACACCTACCGCCGTCACTAACATTTTTCCGGATCCCTCCATCACGTGAGTGCCTTTTTCAAATGAAAACAAAGTAATGGCATGATTCTTGTTACGTAAACTATATAGGATAATAAAAAAAATAGGTTAGACATTTGGAAGGAAGAGATGAGTAAAAAAAATGTCTAATTTAACATGGGTCTTAAATTCAAGTTTTTTACTGTAAATTAACTTTCATTATTTATGAACGTTCGATATCATAAGCAAATATTTTGATAAAATATTGAATATGCAGACAGAAATTCACTTAGAAATATATTAGTTCAAGGTTGTCAAGATAATTTCATTATAAAAATGATTATTAATATTAACAAAGATTAAATCATAGACGCAAACGTAATATATACAAATTACAGATATTTGATATGTTTTCCTTCCATTCAAATGTAATTCTGATATTCATGAATCATTTTGATCATATTGATGCATACTTTTAAATATTCCTTAGTGTATTTTTAACTCCTTTGTATAAATTCAATATGTTACAAAAAAAGACTTGCAAACGATATCAAATGCTTATCAATAATAAAAGTTAATATACAGCGAAATTGTTGATTTTAGGATTTATAATAATTAGACATTTTGTATTCATCTCGGTGAGTACTATAATCCTTCAAATATTGAACCTTTTTTTATATCATCCTATATATTTATTTGCGTATTTTTAAAAATAAATTACCTGAAAGAACCATAGGATCGAACGCTTCTCCTTTCTTTACATGATCCGATTCTCCAGTTAAACTGGATTCATCCACTTTAAGATCGTTACTTTGTATAAGGATACCATCTGCAGGTAGCAGGTCTCCATATTTTATCTACATTGTTAATTGTACAAATTTATTTCATTTATATTTATTGGAATGGGAAGTAGAGAACATTGGTAAAAAATATTATACGATACACACCTGACATATGTCACCTACAACGATATCGGATACAGAAATCTGTTTGACTTCTCCTTGTCGAATAACAGAGAATTTATGTTCTCCTTCAATTCGATTTTGTAAACCCCTAAACTGTCTTTCTTTGGAATAGTCATTGAATGCCGTCACTATCACCACCACAATAACAGAAATCAATATAGCGAGTCCTTCAATCCAACCATATTTTCCTTCATCTTCTTCAAATGAAGATCCCGCTGAAATAATAATTAAAAAATAAATAAAGTACTTGAATAATAAAGTCCATACTTTCCAATAGTATTTCATCTGAAGAGATTCAAATAAAATATATTTGCTTTATACTTACTGTTTTCTTCATCCACCGGTTGGTAAAAACTAAGACCTAACGAAACCAAAGCTGCTATTTCCAAGATGATTAATGTAACATCTTGTAAAGCTTCCCATACTAATGTTAAAAACGTCTTAGGTGGCTTTGGAGGAATCATGTTGGAGCCAAATGTATCTCTCCTATGTTGAATGTCCGCTGTCGACCCACTGAGACCTGTAACGATAAGGAAACAATTTATTTAGATAGAATATAAGAAGCATCAAGAAATTCATCTAAGGTGTAGCGTTAAGAAAAGAAAACCTACCTTCGCTGGGTGAAGTATATAGCTTTTTACATATGTCTTGTACACCACCATAACTATTGACCTTATTGATACCTTCACGACCTCTGTGCTCCATGAGCTCCCGTAGTTGCTTAAGAGTAATTCCATATTGGGCTGGTCGGCCATCTATTGTCGCCATTTTGCCTTAGTTACCGTAGTTGGCCTAAGCCAACTCTAATATTGTTCTCTTAAGCTACCAGCTCTTATTGATCCCTAACGTCTCTGCTCCACTGTCCTCCAAGTAATCGGAGGACAAACAGCTGAAACAGAATGATACACAAATTATTAATTACAATTCATAGCGTAAAACCTAAGGATAGGAAAGTAAGAATATCTACTAAATAATAAGAATGTGAATAAATACTATTTTGTTTCATCAATCCACAAAAATTCTTAGAGCCTACAATACATTGAATATATAGTGAAAGAAATATAACATATTTAACAACATATAGATACATAATCTAAAACGAGGAGGAATAAACCCAAAGAAATTGAAAATAAGTCTTGGGGAAGATGATTATTACTGAGCTAAGTTATCAAACTATTCTGGAAGTTTGATAATGTCTAAAAACACTTTGTCTAAGCTTTGACATATTCCTCGCTCGATGCTCATCTGTCATCAGTAAAGCCGACAGCACGTAGAGGTTATGTATTCCATCACCAAACGTTTCAATTTAACATTTCCATAACAATAGAATGTCGCAGGATACTCCAATATAACGAAATTATTCAGTACACGGTAGAATATGTTTCTCAAAGACTAAATATAAAAATGTTAATACAAACGATAGAAAGAAAAAAAGAAGAAAGGAAGAAAGAGAGAGAGAAAGAGTGAAAGAGAGAAATTTACCGAGCGACGATACTTTCCAATTGGATGCCGAAGCAAAGCCACGAATGCCGCATACGAGGTTTTAACGTTTATCAATTTCTCGTGTTTCGAAACCTCATCTTTTTCCTGTCAATAACGCAAAAACTCATCGATAAGCAACGTTCCCGGTCCGGTCACCGAAGAAAGGTGTGTTAAGTAGAGTAAGCCATTAACAAAGTGGCCATCGATTCGTATTGCCCTCTGCCGGAGCGCGCGGATACTTTATGCGGTTGTAACTCCCAGCAAATTATCTTTCGTCCTCGTCAATTAAATAGGACACTATTTATTTATCGTTATCATGAAATAACACATTTTTTAAACAAATAAATCAATGAAGTATTAACAGTCTGCGTAAATCGACAATTATCGTTTAAGAATAATTGTATATTGAAACTTTTAAATGATTAAAAAACGAGCACTCGTCCTTTAGCACAATAATCAAATTCGATTAATTGAAATTATTCGAATAATTTGAGGTTAAACAATCGATTGTTCGAGATGAAAAATGCTTAAAAAACGCTGACTACCAACGCTGACGCCATGACTATTTTCACTTCCGTCGGAGGTTCAATTTTCCACGAAGATAATATCATTGTTCCTCGATATTCGAATTGTTCAACCGTGGTAAAATGTTTCTTTTTATCTTTTTTGTTTTTTGTCGACATAGAAGATTGCTTTCATCCGCGAGAGACGACCTACTTCGTCGTATACGCACGACTCATAACAAAAAGGGAAAAAAGTATACAACTTTTGTCAAGAAAATTACCAATTACTGCATCCGACTCAAAGGTAAATGTAAAAGAAGGAAGAAAAAATTCGTAAAAAAGGAAGTAACGATTAATAAATAGCTTATTTCCTTCCTCTCTCCCGAACGTGATATATCGTTCGAATGAATAATATCGCGGTTTGAAGTTGCGGAACGACGTATATCGTATTATAATAGATAATGATCACAATCTTGCGCCATTAGAGTTGAGATCGAAAAAATCTTGATTTCTAAGTAAATATTGCTATGAATTAATACTATTGAAGACAATTAGAAACGTGTTGCTTGTTATTATAACAAATTCATTTTCTTCATTACAAATAATTTAATTGTTTAAATATTGATAAAAGGAAAATTTCTTCTTTTTGTATGATTATTTTTTTGAAAGGCAATATATGACGATACTAACAATAAACATTGGAAGAAACATATGTATAGTATCTAAAAGAATATCTAAGTTTCCGTTTTTCTCGTTCAATCTCTCTCTCTCTCTCTCTCTCTCTGTTAGTCAGTCAGTCAGTTAGTTAGTTCTATTTTCGATATATCGGATGGGATTGGTAGTGCAAAATCCTCCCACGAAGGCAGAGGAATATAATGGGGCGAGGTAGAAACGAATCAATGACTCATTTAACGTGAAGGAGACAGAGAGAACACATATATCTCATAGAGGAGCGTTGATTCACACTACAAATAAAATTTTCAAGGTGCTGGGAGAATGATCAAACGAAACCTGCGCAGGACAAACATATACACATGAATATATATATATATATATATAAGGACATACATTTCGTTTCGTATGCCATCTCTCTATTGAAACATTCATGCATATACGTATATATACATATATATCTACGTGAACACACGTTTCGTTTGAACTGTATAAAATGTTTTACCTCTTTTTCTCTATTGAAATGTTTACGTATGATATATATGGTTCCTACCGTATAAAATCTTCAATCTCTCTCTCTTTTTTTCTCTTTCTCTTTCTATCTTTTTCTCTCTCCCTCCTCCTATCTTAAGCTTAGCCCAATCCAGTATGGGTGGTGTACTAAAGTCTAACTTTCGTATGAGATCGCTAAAAGCTCCCAATATTGGTCAGGTTGCGCACGCATCCTAAAGCTTTAGCAAAAGCATCATCAGCAGAAGCGGAAGCAAGAGAGTTACTTTGTGTGTCCGTTGAAGTTAAACCACGAGCACTACCACCGTTGTTTTATTAATACCTTCTACCAAGCAACTACCCTACAGTTTATATGTGTTTTTCAGCTACCTTCTATACCGCTTAACTGTCTCTCTCTCTCTCTCTCTCTCTCTCTCTCACGTCAATCATCATTGCAATTAAGTCGGCCACGAGCGTTATAGGCCGACGTTGTACAAATAATTTCGTGGTTCCTAAATAAAATAAGCGCGCGCGGTAGTATAATACCAGTGTTAAATGATACGTTTACGTAGTATAGAGTCTGTTGCGTTATTATTATTATTATATTTATTCCATTTTGCGAACGTCAGAAATATTTTATAACGTCATCATTGGTAGACAACGATAATAAGGAAGCGAGTACACGGTTAAGAGCAAAACTAAATTAGAAATAAAACGGTAACACATATATGAAATGGAGAAATAAATATATAGATGAAAATAATGAAAATTATTGAAAGAAAGATAGAGATACGGAGAGGGTTCTTTTCCGAGAAATAGATCGATAGGAAATAAGTACGTTTTCAATTAGAATGGAAACCTTTCATTCGCGATATTACGATTCCGAAGATAAATGTTTCTATCCCTTTCTATCGATTAAATCAATTTTTTATTTAAAGATTTTCATAATAATTCTTTGAATCAATCTATTCAAAAATAATCTAATTGTAAATACTTTTTTTTGTTCTTCTTCTCAAAAGAAACATCATTCTAGAAGAATATCGAGATATATCACTTCCGCGCGAATCTATTTATACGGGCTTAATTTATTTATGAAAAACCATACCACGTCAAAGGGTAAAAGTGCTTTCCCTTTCCTTCGTGTTCTCATTCTCGGTTATCAAATTCCAACTAGAACCTTTATTTGCACCACATTCCATGTACTTCAACAGTGACGGATTAAGCGGTCGCGTATAGCACCCTGTAGGAAACTTTAGATCTTAATATTTTTTTTAAATTAGGGTTCGAGGAAAATTACGTTTTTTTTTTTTAATCAATTTAGTTAATATGCTATGGCATGAAATTTTCCATCACTTTTCTTTTTTGTTAATAACTTAATGGGATTTTTCTTGAAACTTTTTTTTTTCTAACTAGAGTTTGAAGGCTTCGAAATTTATATCGCTCGGGGGCCCCCACTTGACTTCATTCGCCGCTGTACTTCAATAGCATTTTTTCTCTCCCAAGCTCATCAAATACGAAACTATTTCTTATTTTCTATCGTGTACCAAAGTTCTTCTTGAAACGTGACTTTTATTCTCTAATAAATCTAGGAAAAATAGAAAAATGAAAAGAATGAAGTGGTGGGGTGGAGGAAAGAGAGGAAGTGCTTCGTTTATCCTTTGTCCGCCACTTTCTACCATTTCTTTTTCTGTCCGTCATATACTCAAAAGAGAAAGAAAATAGAAAATAGAATGTAAAAAGCGAAAAAAAAAGAGAAGAAAGAAAAGTGAAACAAAAATAAATGAAAAGAATTAAGTTCATTCGATTCAAAAGGTTTGTTGGAAATTGCAAAAGGAGATTCTTTGTTTCTTTATGGCAAGAAAGCGTGAAAGTGAAGCGAATTGCAATCATTTTAAACGTTTTCTCGTAACTTGCGCAGTCGAGATGGAAGTAAAAATCTTTATTTTTTTTAAATGAATTAATACGAATAAATGAGCGATAAAAGTAAATGTAATTTTTTTTCAAATGAATCAAACGATTCTTGAGAAAAATTTACATTTTTTTGCGTTCAATTAATGCGTTGACTACCGTGTAGGTCACCGATGACTTCAACACGACCATTAGTAAAAATATATAATTAGAGAAAATATCGATACTGATAAATTTTTGATAATACCATTGTTTTATAAAGTTTTGAAGAAAATAATGAAATATAGAACATGCAAAAATAATTTTATAATTACAAGAAAAATATGCGTGTCATAAAAAAGTTTTTTTTTTGACATAATTGCTTGATAAAATGCAATCTTCATCATTAGAACATTTTACTAAATATATCGCTAACTTCATCCTAAAATCGGGAATTAAAGTATTTTTCAAGTTACTTATTTGTGTAACACCATTTAATTTACAACACAAATAATCAATAGAAGCTCTATTGCCAATTTTCTGTAATATTTTATAGTTTTTTTTACAGTAGTGAACTATAAGCAGTTATTTCATAAGACAAATCATATAAATTATAATCTACTATGATTTTTGAACAGTTTGAAATAACTGATAAGCACGAAAATGATCTACAGCGCCACATGGGTCACCGGTGACCTCATCATAAATACTGCATTAAACGCAATTATACAACTCCCTTTATCAGCTATAAAAAAATTTCAACAAAATATGTATCTTATAATAAAAAATTCATATAGAGGTGTAGCAGGCAAATCATGTGAAAAAAGCGCGGCAGTCAACGTGTTAACATAATCGG